CTGTCTCTCTCTCTGTCAAATAAATAAATAAAATCTTTAAGAAAAAAAAAAAATAGCTATACCCCCTGAGGCAGGTTACTTCTCTATGCCAGTTTCCTCATCTGTAAAGTGGAGACAAGAATAGTACCTATCATTCTAGAAATAGTGTAAAATTTAATGGAGAGGATACATATAAAATGCCTGTCACAGTACTTCTCTTAACAATAGCCCTCAGCTGCTACTTACATCCTACTAGGAGTGACTTTAAGATTCAAGTGACTAATAGAGTTTTATTTATAGTTAGATGAACTACTTTGAATACCTTAATAACTATTTCAAGACATGAAAGTCCATTAGGGAGACCTACTTTCTAGTTATTAAACAAAATATTTCCTTTATGCCATAAATTAAGGGTCCTCTACATATAACACAAAAGCAATGATTCTGCTTTCAGAGTTTCTCACCTAGAAGAAGAAATCTCTAAGACTCCGAAATGTTTCATAAAATTAATATTCTATGTGATTAGTCTATCTTAAGTGTATTTACAATGGTATTTTCAATGCTAAACTACTAATTAACATATGTAACAAACTAATAAACACCCATTCATACAGTTTATATATACATATATTCCTCGTTTTACCAATGAGGGAATTCAGATTTACAGAGTTTATGCTTCTTGCCTCAAGGTCAGAGACCGTGCCTGAAAAATGGTTAATTTCTATTTTGAATTCCACCCGAGATTAGAAGCTTTCTTACACTTACACACAAATATAGTTGCTGTTTCGTAAGGGCTTAAGAACAATGTGAGAGCAGTAGTTCCACATACCTTAAGCTAATTGGCCTGTTGTGTGTCCACAGAGTACATTTACAAGTAGTCTTAAGGTTTTTGTTTATAGTTTTCTGCATTTTACATGCTCTACAATGAACATCTATTACTTTCATAAATAGAAAATAAGTATATATTTTTAAAATTCTTACCATACAAGCTTGACTCAGCCGATATTCCATAGTTAATACTTCTTGCAAGGTCTTTGAAGACCCCTCTATGAGTTGCCTTAGTGTGATCTTTAGGGATGTTGGAGACATTTTACTAATTACCTATGAGTGAAAAAAAATTTTTTACTAGCTTTAGCCCAAGAGTTCCTTTATTGTCTATAACAAACTAGCTGAGTTTTGATATAAATCTTAATTAAAATTTGCTCCTTAAACAGTACTTTCACATGACAGTTTCATAAAAGTGAGATTATGCTGTAGCCTCATCCTGTCAAAGCACCAATGGTTTTCTAATCTCTTTTAATAACAAAACAGATCATTCCACCAGTGGAATAAATGCTGTACCCATAAATTAATAAAAGAAATCTATACTTTGTAGCTGCCTGACATAAATTATGATCCCAACTAGGTAAGCAAACAGTGATTATGCTTAAGTAAAATTAATACACATCTTACAAACAACTAAGATTTCAGAGAACATTTTAGCTTATAATATAAAGAAGGTAGAGTAGAAATATAGCTCTTTCCTTCCCATTTTGTGACTACAGAGAAGTGTTTGAACTGAACTATAGACTTTATAAATAAATCTACTTACCTTAAAAGTAAGGAGAGAAAACAATTCACGATACAATGAGGTGGTGTTCTATAGTATTTAAATATTTAATAAAGTAAGAATACCAGGCCTGACTCCTTGGCCACAGTGCCATGCGCCCCTTCCTTTTGAATTTAAAGATGCTATTACTAGTGTTCTGACACACGTGTATGACTGTGACCAATAGCTGCTGCAAGAGCTCCCATTATATGCTATGTAAATCTGATGCTTGCCCTCTTCATCATTGCCATATACAGTTTTCAGGCCTGTTGTTGAGTTATTGCCTCAAAGGTAGAAATTTTACTTTCTGAGTTCAAAGAATTCCCCACATCAAGATTCCAGGTTCCTTGTAGCATCCTCAAGTGTGGCATGCAGAGTCAGAGAACAGACTGAATGGACAGGGCATTATTTTACCTAGCAGCTGCTAAACCTTAAATAGATGACAACTGTACAGGAAAAGTTCAAGGAAGATCAGTTTCCTACCTACAGTCACAAAGCCGAAGAAAAGGTGAGAAAGAGAGAAAAGCAATTAAGGCTTTTTATGCATCTGATTCATCTTCGTAGGAACTCACCCTTCTGCCCTGAGTACTGTATGCACATGATCTCATTTAATGCCCCTGGAGCAATCCCACTCCACGGTCTCGCCTTTCTGGTTACAGACCATGAGGATGATGGCCCCCGTACCGTAGTCTGCATACTGTGCTAGGAGGCCCCTCCTCTCCACAGGCAATAGACAAGGGGTCCATTTTGCTGACAAAACCACTAGTTTTCTCTAGCAAGAGCAGTGCCCACATGATCACAGGTCAACAGCTGGAAGAACTTCATTCACAATGCTGAAAGGTGAACTTAAAGGACTGACATAGCCACCTTCTATCTTTTCTAGTCTACAAAGTCAATGAAGCTATGATTCCCTTTCCAAAAGGCTGTAGTATATAACCCACAATCATGTACCTCAGAACTACCATCATGGCTAGTTGCCTGTGTCCTCTTTCTTGGTTTGGCACTTTACATATAATCCAGAATTCTCAAAACACAAACTCTGTCTTTGCTATACTTCCTCAGTTGGCTACCAATTAATTTCATTAAAAAGGTCACTTAGGGGCGCCTGGGTGGCTCAGTCGTTAAGCGTCTGCCTTCGGCTCAGGTCATGATCCCAGGGTCCTGGGGTCGAGCCCCGCGTTGCGGGGAGCCTGCTTCTCCCTCTCCCACTCCCCCTGCTTGTGCTCCCTCTCTCTCTGTGTCTCTCTCTGTCAAATAAATAAATAAATAGTCTTTTAAAAAAAAAAAAGACCACTTAATAAGAAAACCATCCCACTTACAATTGCACCAAAAATAATAAAATACCTAGGAATAAACTTAACCAAGGAGGTGAAAGACCTGTATGCTGAAAACTATAAAACACTGATGAAAGAAACTGAGGATGACACAAACAAATGGAAAGAGATTCTATGCTCATGGATTAGAAAAACCAGTATTGTTAAAATGTCCATACTACCCAAAGCAATGTACAGATTTAATGCAATCCCTATCAAAATACCAACAGCATTTTCCAAAGAACTAGAATAATGTTAAAGTTCTTATGGACCCACAAAAGACCTCAAATAGCCAAAGCAATCTTGAGAAAAAAGATTGAAGCTGGAGGTATTACAATCCCAGATTTTAAGATAATACTACAAAGCTGTAGTAATCAAAACAGTATGGTACTGGCACAAAAATAAACAGATCAATGGAACAGAAAGAGACTCCAGAAATAAACCCACACTTATATGGTCAATTAACCTACAAGAAATGAGGTAAGAATATACGATGGGGAAAAGACGGGCTCTTTAATAAATGGTGTTGGGAAAACTGGACAGCTACATGCAAAAGAAAGAAACTGGACCACTTTCTTACAGCATATAAAAAATAAGCTCAAAATGGACCAAAGACCTAAATGTGATACCTGAAACCATAAAACTCCTAAGAGAAAACATAGGCAGTAATTCTGACACTGACAGTAGAAACATTTTTCTAGATATGTCTCCTAAGGCAAGGGAAACAATAGCAAAAATAAATTAGCAGGACTACACCAAAATAAAAAGCTTTTGCACAGTGAAGGAGACCATCAACAAAATGACAAGGCAACCTACTGAATGCAGGAAGATAACTGCAAATAATATATCCAATAAGGGATTAATATCCAAGATATATAAAGAATTTATACAACTCAACACAAAAACAAACAATCCAGTTAAAAAACAGGCAAAAGACATGAACAGACATTTTTCCAAAGAAGACATACCAATGGCCAACAAACACATGAAAGATATTCAACATCACTAATCAGCAGTGAATCAAAACCACCATGAGATATCACTGTACACCTGTCAGAATGGCCAGTGTCAAAAAGATAAGAACCAAGTGTTGGCGAGGATGTGAAGAAAAAGGAACCCTCATGCACTGCTGGCAGGAATGCAAATTGGTGTAGCCACTGTGGAAAACATTATGGAGATTCCTCAAAAAATTAAAAATAGAATTGCCATATGATCCAGTAATCCCACTACTAGGTACTTACCCAAAGAAAACAAAAACACTAATTTGAAAAGATACATGCACCCCTATGTTTATTGCAACATTATTTACCATAGCCAAGATACGGAAGCAACCCAAGTGTCCATCAATAGCCGAATGAATAAAGAAGATGTGGTACGTATATACAAAGGAGTATTACCCAGCCATAAAAAAAAAATGAGATCTTGACTTTTGCAACAACATGGATGGACCTCGTGCATATAACGCTAAGTGAAGTAAGTCTGAAAAAAGGAAATACCATGTGATTTCACTCATATGGTACTTAAGAAAGAAAACAAATGAACAAAGAGAAAAAGAGAAACAAAAAAAACAGACTTAAACACAGAGAACTGGTGGTTGTCGGGGGGCAGGGTGGGTGGAGGAATGGATGAAACAGACAGGAAAAAATGGCCACGTAAGGGCTCCAGTTGTTTGTGCTTGTGTCACACACACATAAATACACTAGGGGAAGAAAGGGAAGAAAATTTCCTTTGAAAAGGAAGGGAAAAATGAAGGGTGGGGGAATCGGAGGGAGAGACGAGCCATGAGAGACCATGGACTCTGAGAAACAAACTGAGGGTTCTAGAGGGGAGGGGGGAGGGAGGATGGGTTAGCCTAGTGATGGGTATTAAAGAGGACATGTACTGAATGGGGCACTGGGTGTTATACGCAAACAATGGATCGTGGATCACCGCATCAAAAACCAATGATGTATTGTATGGTGACTAACATAATAAAATTAAATTAAAAAATAAAAGTAATAATAGGAAAAAAAAAAGCTTCACTGGTTCAGACATTTCATGAATTAGTAATTAAAGAGATTTCCTGTTAACAGACACCATATTAAAAAAACAGTGCATTGACAACCCAAGGAAAACTAGTTTCCAAAAATTCTTAGATATACTGGCAATTTAGCACAGAGACTCAGGGTTTGAACTCTGGAGTCCAACAACTCAGTGGTAGAATTCCAGCTCTACCACTTCCTACATGATTGATTTTAGTTTCCTCATTTGTAAAATGGAGATTGTAATACTACCCACCTCAAAAATGGATAGGGCAAGGTGTCAGAAACCAAACCAAATAGGGAAGGGAAGGGATGGCATATGTATGGAGCACATTCCCCTTAGCTCTCAGTTAAAGATGTTCACACGTATGCACGCTGTACAAATGAGGAAACCAGCCTGATAAGAATGTATCCAAGGTCACACAGAGCGGAATCTAAACCCAAGCCTGACAACTCCAAAGCCTACTTCTTTCTACATGCAAGGCTATAAAGGTAATCAATGCCAAAGGCTGATGAAACGTCAAAAATAACAAAGATGGAGAAAACATTATGTCAGGTGGTAGAAAGAAGTTAATAAAAACTTACTTGTGTAATTTTGATGGCAAGGGGGGAAAGACAAAGTCAGGATGGTAGCTTGAGGAAAAACTGTTAAGAGAAGGCTTTTTGTAAGAGTAGGAAAGCTTTTGAAAATAAGAGCAGAAGGAAGTGTGCCTTCACCCAAGAAAGTAAAATTTTGAAAATAACTGAAAGAGGGAGAGGACTGATGCCAAGTAGTTCCTAAATGAGGCAGGAAAGGCTGGAATGAAAGCACAGATGGGGATGTTTCCCTCGGCAAGAAAGTGAGACACGTGTTAGAGGAATCAAAAGGATGATGGAAGAAAGTTAAAGGAGCTCATGTATTATAGCCTCATTCATTAAAAAGGGAACACAGAGACTCTTCCAGAAAACTGAATAAATGATTAGGACTTGGATCTTCAGCTATGTCAGAAATGTGTATGGATACGATCCTGCAACCATACAACCTGGTGAACATATTTCTACTTCCTGGTAAAACACTGGTAAGTGTTGTAACTAAATTATCTGACCCTTTAAAAATTAGCTGTCTCATGTATGCCAAAGAGCCAACTTCTTTTTTCCTTTATTTGTATCAAATAATTCACATTCTCATCTCAATTCAAT